ATTCAATTATTTTGCTGTATTGTTTTGCTGTATTGCAAGGGTCAGGATGGGGCAGTGGTGTGAGATTGACCCTATCACGCCACTGGCTTGGGTTCAAGCCCACTGCTGCAGAGAAGGCTGGTGACTACTGGTATTATCCAAGCTGGGTTCTTTTAGCCAACCAGATATAGCCGGCGAGGGCAAGATACGAGCCAGCCTGAGCAGCAGTTTTGTTGGGTTCTGATAGAAAACATAGAACTAAATTTGGACGAACACAAAATAAAGAGTCTAACCGCCAGAACCACCAACGTCGAGGCACAAGAAATCAATACAGTAATTACGGTGACAATTTTATTTTACGGACTTTTATGAAAGCCAATAATAAATTATTAAATAAATACAATGCTATAATAATTGTATTATATTTATTTTTTCAGAGCACTGTCATGTGAACATATCGGATACCGTTTTCTTCGACAGCATCACGCTGGAGATGGCGTATCCAATTAACATATCGTTTAACGTTCCCTACCAGTGTTCGAGAAACGGTTGTCGGTACACAATAAAGGATGATACTCCAGGTTTCAGCCAGAATGTTCGAGCGTATGGGCTAAGTGCTTAAACAAAGATGGCACGGTTGAAAGTCGGTATTATCGCGAAGATGGCATACCCTCGTATCAAAACACTTCCTGCGTCGCAATGTCAAACAATTCGATGCTCATTTTCAGTGGTGGAAAACGAATTGCCGGTGACACGTGGTCATTCCAGGCACCCCCGGCATGGCTGCTACTTGATACAACGGAGGCGCGACAAGTTTATTCGGTAACTATGGGGAAACTGTCGTGGGAACTCAAAGATTTGTCAACGCTGTATGATGCCCCGTGTACCGCAAAAGAGTGCCGGGGAATTTGGGCGCTGGTTAATTCGTCGGACGCTAATTCCTCGCATTTAGTGTTGGGAGGAGAAGGGATTCCTCTTCAGGATATGGAGTATGGCCCTATAGCTTTCTCCGGGTCAGGAGACTTTTGGACCTACATCGTACAACTGGTAAGCCCTTCGTACTACAAATCGGACGTTGTTTTACCGCGAATGTTTGATCACTTGAACGAAGATGCGGAGATGATGAAGCAAATCACGGGGAAGAACTGCTGCAATGAAGTTGATCTTTGTCGACCGAGCTGTAAAAAATCATCTTTATATCGAGGACAGCCATCAAACTGCGTGTATCGGTGCATTTCATTTCCTGTTCCAAAGTGCTGTAGAGCATTAAAAGCTTGCACCGGATGTACCATTGGATGAGGACTTGCGATCGGGTAGTGCGCCTAGGCTTCGATTTAACGGCAACAACTATCACATGGCAGTCCGTGCATCGATTCCGATTGTCAGTATGACACTATCCTTATTAGGTTGCGCAATACTACTCACCGTTGGGACCACCAGTGTGTGTCATCGTGACCGGTGGGCGGACAAAGTCGGCCAATTGACTGATGCACGGACAGTTGCGGAAGCAATCATCAACGACCGCAAGTTTCCACCGTGGTTGCTTCAAATGAAGCTGGAGCACCAACAAGTATCGGTCCCACTCGAAGAGTTCCAGATCAAACAGGTGGAGCTCTCGAGGGACAACAATAATGGAGACGCTCTCAAGAGCCCTACGAAGTGTAAACCATACATTTTACATGAAGCTGTAAACGACAAAGACACTGAATTACATCTTATCGCAGATTCGATGTTTGTTGCTTCATTGTTTTTTTTCTTCCTCTAGTTCTTGCAAACTCCAGTTTTTCTATGCCATAATTGCCGCGATGAATCCACAATTAAAGTTAACTGCATTGATCTCAGCAAAAAAACTGATGACACTGAGAAGTAGTAACAATATCTCATTTCGCTTTGAATTGAATTTTGATTACAGTGACTAAAATGCTCACAACTCACGAGGCTGCCAGCGTGTTCAAGCGCGTCAAATTCTCAGCAATATTTTCACAGGCGCTGATAACGCAGCTCATGACGATGAAATCCTCCATGGTGATCCGTTTGCTGTGATCATCCACATACCCCAACAAGCACTCACCATAGGCGTGTTTCAGTGCTATCGCAGCTTCTGTGAGTGTAAACGCCTCGACGTTGAGTAGCGCTTCTGGTGCCGAGCTTTCGCTAGCCGACGACATGGCTCGAAAGCGGTGTCTACGATTGGTCTTCAGAGTTTCCGTGGCATTAACAGGGGTAGACCCGTGCTTTGACTCAAAAACTGACATGTCAACGAAGTTGGACGAAGCCCGGTGCCGAGAATCTGAAGCTGGGGGCGATACAGTGGAGCCCCGTTTGTTCTTCCCGGGTGTTGAGGGATCATCTGGGTCGTCCGTTTGAATAGAGTTACGTCGAAGTGTACTTTTACGAAGCAAACGACCGCTCCTTGAGTGGGAAAGTTGCGATCCGTTGGGTCCTGTAATGACGTCGCTAACGGGGACTTGTGGTTGGTCATCGTAGATCTCCAGTTCCAGTCGGAAACCTTCATTTAGCGCCTGCATGAACTCGTTAAAGGAGATTTTACCGTCGTGGTCCTTGTCCACTAACTGCATGAACTCATCCACATATTGCTCCATCCCTCCAATCCCCTGACTGCCAGAGTACGGCATTAGTTTTTCCAGTAGAAGACACAGTTCCGAGGCATCAACTACACCTCGACGATGCACATCAGCGATACGAAAAGCTTCCTTCATCTGCAAGTAGATGGCGTGATCTTCAGCGGTTGAGCCGGAGAATTCCTCGCCAAATAAAGTCACCAAAGTATCGAAAGCTCCTTCGACTCCTGCCTCAACCACAGCCAAACTTTGATCCCACTTGATCTTGGCCACAGCAGGAGATGTTGTACTCACATTAGGCAGCGGAGACGGCGGCGATTGGGCAGAATTATCCTCTGTAGTAGACTCTCCTGCCATCTCAGCTACCATTGCAGAGGTAGGAGAAGGAGGTTCTTGAGCCGCAGCATACGCAGCAGCGCATTCATCTTCGATTCGACTTTGTTGCCAACGTCTTAAAGGCTTGTCTTTCCCACTGCTTCGACGATGTTCGTGCCAGTCCACCAGGTCCACAAGAACGTCAATTCTATCCAAAATTTCGCGACATACGTTCAGGACTGTCGTGTACTTGGCTGTTGAGAACGGGGGCTTCCACAAAGTAGGCTCCATACTAGAGCCATTCACCAGTTTAGCTTGCGTCTTGAGCAGTTCAGGAAGAGTATTCTTTAGTTGGTCTCTCAGCCCCTTGATCTCAGCGCGACTTAGTAATGCGTTTGTAATCTCAATGTCCTCTTCTGTGAGAACCCCTGTAGACGTAGCTCTCGGTTGACTGTACGCGATATGATGACGAAATACGTCGTGGAAAACGTCACAATACTTTGTCAACAACTGCTGGATGTTACTACGCAGCAGTCCACGGGAGCTTCGAGGATGAATCACGACTTCCACGACCATGAGAATGAGAATACCCAGCGCATTCTGAGTTAGACTGGAGTACGATACTGTGGTCGAAGATGACGTGTTTCGACAACTGTGGTCTAGTAGCACCGATGCAGCCATGAAAGCTGATGTCATGCCTGCCAACGCCATGTAGCGACGACAGAACCACACATACATGGAGCCCACAGTCCACACGAACAATACGATGTTGTTCAATACGTTGTAGACGTTGTCGTCCGCCACTTTGCACACGAAGAAGCTGAAGATAGAGGGCACCACTGTACCAGCTACCAGACCACCCACACGATTCACTGTGTTGCCATACGTGCCACCAATATTATCCTCAGCCACCATAGCGATCGCAGTCGGGGCCGTCGAACTGAAAGCGAAGATGAAAGTCGCACAGCAAATTCCAATGATGACCGCCAGTGTCGTACGAAACGCGAAAATGATAAGTCGTCGAGGATAATTGACAGGCTGCAGCAGACTCCGACATGCCAATTTCAGGAAATTCTTGACGCGGTAACGAGCAGAGAAATTCTTGCGATTGAATTTGTCCTCAAATTCCAGCAGTGAAACCACGAACACGTGGAAAGAGTAGACGAATACATTGAGTGGCATGGTTTTACCCACGTCATCTGCCGTGTGGACATCGGCCGAGAGGAGGTTTCCATACAAAGTCGTGTATTTAGTCATGAGGCGTTCCAAAGCTTGTTGCAAACTGGCGAATTTCGATGACGACATGGCTAAAATATGGTAAAAATAAAAGTTAGTGTAAAAGATTGTAAAAAAAGATAAGGATAGCAGCGTACGTACTTCGTGACGAATGAACGATCTTGAGTGAGATATCCTCGAGTAAATCATTTGCCTCCACTTGTAGAACGTAGAAACGCGTTTGCATCTTCTGGAGCAGCACCACGTGCGTCCAATGGCACGTCTCCGCTTCGATGGCAAATTTCATGGCGTGTAAGTCTGCGAGTAACTTGGCGTATAATTTCACGAGCTGCTTGGCCACAGTTTTGTTGAAGTGAAAGCACACGCCCAGTCCCACTAATTCCTCCCACCAGCAGTCACTTAGCAGCGATTCCATCGTAGTCAGACGCTCGTGGGCATTGTCGAGCAATCGATCCAGCCGCAGCTTGAAGAAATCCATCTTCTTGATATCTTTGGCTCGGAAACAGTAGGAATCGACAATCAAGTTTAGGATATCTCGGATGTCGTGAGGCGACGCAGCCATGTGTCTCTGTAACTTCCTCATTGCACTAAATAAAATATAAAATGGTGAGTACTTACAGTATAATTGGAGATAAGTGTACCCACACGTACAAGATCGGATATGGTAGAATCATAACCGCAAGCGCGATTAGAGTGCCCACAACGCCAACTGCACTATAAATCGCTAATTGCTTGAGTAAGTTATCCGTGCCGTAATAACTGTTGCCTTTCGAGTTGTCCTTTAGAATCGTCGTGAATACAGGATTCATCGGATCCACCAGAGTCAATGCTGTAAAAATAACAAAGGTCGTGGTTAGTGTAAGCTTCCAACCTCAATAAAAAAA